CCTTCCAAAGTGATATAGTCTAGAATGACCCATAGTTGCTGCATATTTGAAATTTAGTTATAGATGACTGTTCTGAAAACCCAATGTGCTGAGGTGGTGGTGAATAGATCTAACTATTTCAATATCTTGTCAGCCAGAGCTCTATCTGCAGTTCACCTATACATTTTGTTTCAAAAGCTATAAAATAAAATATATGTTTTCTGTCCCAGTTGAGGTTATACGCTCAACCTTTAAAATCTGGGCTGGTGATTCGATCAACACTGAAATAAAGGGCAACTGGTGGGCTTGCTTAACCTCACTCCTTTTATATATTTCTGTCAGCGTTTGTACCATCAACAATCAAGGCTGAAAACTAGCTCCTCAATGAAAAAAAAATCATGTTTCTAAGCTGCATAGCATAGTTCCCTAAGTTCTATTATGGCTAATACATTCTAACCTTCAGCAAATACTGCTGACATTGGGCTTTTAAGCAAAAAGAAAATGCAAATTTCCCTGAATCCATGCTTATTGACAGGTGTTTTGGTTGTGTGTGTATGTTTTTAGATCTAGCATATTTTTTTTACAGGTTTCAAAAATTCCTAATTTTAAAAGATTAATTGACAACAAATGGGGTGCTTGTTGTTGTTTTTTAAAGGAATATAATAATAATAATAAGGGACGCAGGTGGTGCTGTGGGTAAAACCTCAGCGCCTAGGACTTGCCGATCGCATGGTCGGCGGTTCGAATCCCCGCGGCAGGGTGCGCTCCTGTCGTTCGGTCCCAGCGCCTGCCAACCTAGCAGTTCGAAAGCACCTCCGGGTGCAAGTAGATAAATAGGGACCGCTTACCAGCGGGAAGGTAAACGGCGTTCCGTGTGCTGCGCTGGCTCGCCAGATGCAGCTTGTCACGCTGGCCACGTGACCCGGAAGTGTCTGCGGACAGCGCTGGCTCCCGGCCTCTTGAGTGAGATGAGCGCACAACCCTAGAGTCTGGCAAGACTGGCCCGAACGGGCAGGGGTACCTTTACCTTTTTAATAATAATAATATCAGGTGCTTGACTTTTCCTCAAAATATTGTTAAAATCTGACATTGGCATGAAGGATATGTCCTGGCCCTGGATGGAGGTTCCTCAGCTCAGTTTCATTTTAAACCTCTGCTCTGGCTCCATCTCAGAGTTGAGGAACCCTGCAGTCTAGAAGACTCCACCAAGTCATGCTGCTGTTGTCCAGGATTATTGTTCCTCACAGAAGGTCATGAAAATTAATTTTATTCTTAGGGTTTTTTCTCCTATTCACACCGGTATGTCGCAAAGGGCTCCTCCAGATGTCCTTTTGATTGCACATTCATGAGGATTTGTGCTGCACCTTCAAAAGTGTCAGGGTGGTCCCACGGTGTGGTTCCCTGTAGCATCCTGCTAAAATCCCGTAACTCTTTATACAGCAAAGGTTCTGGCTTATTTTTGCTCCACATATCACCAGTCTGGAAGGCCCCTAAATTTGTAGGAGTTGTACTTGTTGATGATTAGCTAAGAATGTCATCTGTGCTTGTTGCTGCTACTGCAACAGCATGGCCACCATTCTGTAGAGAGGCATAAAATTCCCTATCCAGGATCAAACTCAGGAGAAACTGGTTCTGCCAGTTTGTGGTAGAAACCTATTATGCTCAGCACTGATTGGCCAGTGCTTGCAGCTTCACAAACCCACCAACCTTGGGGCCTTGTTTTGGGTATAGCTCTTTAAAATGTACTTTTTTCTTTTATAAAATAAAAAGGGCCAAATAAATGTTTAAATAAATTAATCCTACTATAATTTAAAAACAAAATAGCTGGAAAGCCTGGCTGAGGATTTTGGGAGAAGGGGTGAGGTAGACAACTGCGATCAACATTATAATTGCTGAAAAGCACATCTGCTCCAATGCATTTTGAAATGGAGAAGGGGACAAAGGAGGAAGGCTGACTCCACAAGGCAAAAAAAAAAGATGAGCTCTGTTTTTAAAAGTTTATTTGTTTAACAGGGATAGGCAACCTAAGGCCCTGGGGCTGAATGCGGCCCAATCGCCTTCTCAATCTGGCCCACAGATGGTCTGGGAATCAGGGTGTTTTTACATGAGTAGAATGTGTCCTTTTATTTAAAATGCATCTCTGGGTTATTTGTGGGGCCTGCCTGGTGTTTTTACATGAGTAGAATGTGTGCTTTTATTCAAAATGCATCTCTGGGTTATTTGTGGGGCATAGGAATTCATTCATCCCCCCCCAAAAAAAATAGTCTGGCCCCCCACAAGGTCTGAGGGACAGTGGACCGGCCCACGGCTAAAAAAGGTTGTTGACCCCTGGTTTAACTCTATGGACTGTGAGCCAAAATCTAGCCAAAGTAAAGCACTGCAAGTCCCACTGATTTCATGGGGAAGAGTGTTTAAGTACATGCTTTCCTATCTAAAATAAATGAGATTTTAAAAAGCATAGGGCTGCAATCCTAGATGCATGTGAGGTCCATTGAACCCCATGGGACTTATTTCTGAGTAGATTGCATATAGGATTTCACTGTTACTCTAAATGTGCTGTGTGTCTGTGTCTATATTTGGTCTTTTGAGTTATTTTTTTCTCTGTGCGTTACTTATGATGAGGTGCACTGTGCCAGTCCTCACATTTTTCTCTGGGTTTCTGAAGCTGTAGTTTTCCTTCTCTAATTGTCTCTCTCTGTCCTCTACGGATTTCAACAGCCTCTCCTCTCACCCTTAGCTAGGAATGGTTTTGGTCGGCTGCTTCTTTAAATTGTTCTTTAAAAAATATAATTAATAAATAATATAAAGGTCACAGTGAGGAAGTGGCAGCTCCACCAGAAAACAATGTGTACTCTCTAAATTTGAACCAAGCCATTTCCGCTCTTTGATTTAAGTTTAGTTGCTTCCTGTGGTTTCATGTCCTGCACTCCAGTTGAATCTTTGGATGGGCTCCAGTATAAATTGCACTCTTCCAATGAAATTAGAGACTAGCAATAGATGGGTCAGCTAGTAAACAGCATTTAAACCAAATACTATGCTTCTTGGTGTTTGGATGAAAAATAGTCTGAATATTTGAAAGGATTTTATGCCCTCTACTCCAATTTTCAGCTAGGTCACTAAACTTTGTTTTCATCCATCCTCTCTGAAGTTAGTTTTTGCCTTCTGTTACTTTTCTAGCCCTACCTCGGGGACTAGTAACAATGATTTTAGAAATTGAAACTAAGAAATCTGCTTTTAAGAAATTTGTATTCTGGTTACTGTTATTACTGGGAAGAAAAAGGTGAAAATGCAGAAAGTGTTGGCAGTTCAAAAACTTAATGCTAAATCACACCTTACAAAACCTGCACTCCCTTATGCACAGTTCCCTGCTTCTCCTTCAGCACAGTCACAAGTAGGAGACCAGAAGCTTTTGCTCTTATATTAGATTTACCATAGTTTAGCTTTCAGCCTTCATGCAATCTCAGCTATGCCTTGTTGAAACAAGCCAACTTCAAACCATTGTTTATGAAGTTAACTTGCTTCAGCAAAGCATAGTTAAAGCTAATCTCAGTTTAGGGTTTGGACATAGCAGTAAATTGTGGCTAATCTATAATGGGAGTGGACGTTTCCAATCTCCTCACGTTTGTGTTGGAGGAAGGGAGGGACAATATTGCGTGAAGATGCAGCTGTGTCTTAGTCAAGAATTTACCAATCTGAAAGTAATGGATGCTTGAGGAACCCATTATATAATTGCTCCAAAACTGTGCACCGTTCTGACTCTTAAGAGCAAATGGGCCAGAGCCGAAGTAAAAACAAGTTGCAAAATTGCTTATTGCTTCTGATCATTTGTTATACTTAAGTGAATATTTGGAGTGTGAGTTCATATGTGATTTCCACATATCAGAAGAAATGTTGAAAACTGCTGCTGTAAGCATTAGGGTGGTGTGTGTGTTCTTAGTTTTCTTTCTTGAGTGGATTAATAACCAACCTTTCTAACCCTAATGTTCAGGATGAGTGTGTTTCATGATAAGATGGCAAAGCCTGACCAGGCTTTTAGGGAATATTTTTATTTCGTAGTTCACAAATTAAAGGTCGTCATCCCCCCATTTTGTATGTGTGCATATTTTAAATATCTGCTTTTAATTTGTTGGTCTGAAATTATTTGGCTCTCCAGGTAAAAAAGGGAAAGTGTGATACCATATAGTTCTAGGCATGTGCAAAGAAACCCCAACAGATCTGATTGTTCCTCTTTCTCCATGACTAGTTAGGCAGTTCAATCCCTGAAGTGGGTAGATAATGCTGTATTTTTTAAAGCTAGTGTTTATAAACCCAGTTCCAGCAACGGGCAAGACTGAACAGTGTTCAGAATGAACATGTGGCCTCTTTATGGACAGTCACTAGGCTTTTTGCTGGATTGGTTGCCTTGGTGTGTTTGCATGACTGCTTTGAGGGAGAGGGGAGAGATTTCACAAAGATAAGCTAGTACATATCTAAAAGCAGGTGTATTCATTTATTTAAGATATTTCTGTACTGTTTTTCAGGTGGCCCTCACAAAATGGTTTACATGAAATGATTGCAACAATAGGCATTAAAGTTCAGTAACATTCCATTTTTCGCCACGGCAGCAAACCACAGGAGTGTCACTTGAGCTCTCACAGCCATCCCTCCCAGAATGCCTCGCTCTGAGGAAGGACCTCCATGGCCCTTCTTGAAAAGAGGGAGGATAGTGATGGAGGGAGAGAGCCTTGCTGGGCAGGTGGTGGTGGCAGTCGCAGCAGCGCCCTCTAGCGGAAGGCCTGGCCTTGCCCTTTGTGGTGGCAAGCATCGCTTGGAATGACACCATTCCACATAACATGGTCTATGTTACCATCGCTTCCACAGGGATGGCACTACAAAGAGTTACACTGCAACTGGCTCTTTGACCAGTGCTGGCATAGGAACAGCTGAAGCAATTAGGCTTCATTGGAACTGTGACAGCAACAGCTAATGTCTGAACTCTCCCCCCTCCCCTTCCTTTCTCCCTTTCCCTCAATCTCTTTCAGGACACTTAAAAGCCGCGTTTCTCGGTGCTGAAGGACAGCCTGAGCAATGGAGCCTCGGACGCCTCACAGCATTACTGGGGTTCCCAATTCCACTGTGGTGGTCCAGCCTCTCCTGGACAGCCGCATCCCCTACGGCAGGCTGCAGCATCCTCTGACTATCCTGCCAATTGACCAAATGAAGACCACGCACCTGGAGAACGACTACATAGACAACCCCACCCTGGCCCAGCTGGCTGCTCAGAAACATCCCCGGGGCCACCACGAGCCCGCCCACCCCCCGCGATGTGAGCAGGACATCACCCACCCATGGATCTCTTTCAGCGGGCGGCCCAGTTCCATCAGCAGTAGCAGCAGCACATCTTCGGATCAGAGGCTTTTGGATCACATGGTTCCGGCCCCGGTAGCAGACCAGTCCTCCCCGAGGGCTGTCCGGATACAGCCCAAGGCGATTAATTGCAAGCCCTTGGACCTGAAGGGACCTGCTTCTCAGGAGATGGACAAGCACTTTTTGCTGTGCGAAGCCTGTGGGAAATGCAAATGCAAGGAGTGCGCCCTGCCCAGGACTTTGCCCTCCTGCTGGGTGTGCAAGCAGGAGTGCCTGTGCTCGGCTCAGAACCTGGTCAACTACTCCACCTGCATGTGTCTGGTGAAGGGCGTCTTCTACCACTGTACCAACGAGGACGACGAGGGCTCTTGCGCAGACCACCCCTGCTCCTGCTCGCATTCGAACTGCTGCGCTCGCTGGTCTTTCATGAGCGCCCTCTCTCTGGTCCTGCCTTGCTTGTTGTGCTACCTGCCGGCCACCGGCTGCGTGAAGCTGTCGCAGCGATGCTACGACCAAGTGAGTCGGCCTGGATGCCGGTGCAAAAACACAAACAGTGTGATTTGCAAAGCATCACCTGAAGGGAAAGTTGGCAGCAGGCCAGGGAAGCCATTTTGATCTCTGGAGTGAGGAGGAGGGGCGGGTGGGGGTGGGAAGTGCCGAAAAACAACAGGAAAGGGAATTTCATAACCTGCGTTGCGAGTGTAACGTGTCAGCCTTTTGCTTTCAACAAACGAAGGGAAATGTCTCTTTCCAGGAACTGAAGCACTTTGGGATTATTCAGGGGGTTGTGGAAGTGGTGATCTGTACTTATTATGCAGTAGGGATCTGAAGGATCTTTCTGAATATTTTTTTGCAGAGCAAAGGCAGAAATCTACTAGGTAGGGCAATCTGAAGACTGCTTCTGTTCATTTCTTAGTCTTGGCTGCCTGCTAAGTCTACATACCACAAGAATAATTAACAGATGGGATTGGCAGGTACATCAACAGCTGAAACAGGGTTCTTATTCCTAGAAGGTGATATCCATTTCAGCCCCCTCCCCCACACTACTCCAACCTTTTATTTATTACCTGTAGACCATTGGCAATCAAGAGTTAATGTTCTCAACACTTTAGTAGGGGCCCTGCCCAACCCCTCAATATCCCCCCCCCCACTTAAGGCAGTTATTGAAAAAGATCCTTCTATCCATTCCATAAGTCCTTTTCAGTCAGCCTCCATGGGCTATTTTTTTACAGCATGGAGAGGATGTTGCCCTTAGCTGATTGATGCATATCAAGCTACAGTTGAGGCACAGATGGAAAAGTGGGCAACCCCACCAGTTTCCTCCTCTTAAGGCCATTTTATTTTTGTTGCTCTCTCTCTCTTTTTCTTTGGCTTCATTGAGTGTATACAAAGAATGCATCTTGCCTAGGGACATGATCTGTCCCTCATTTAACATCAGTTGGATGCTATTGGTGTGTGTGCACCCCCCCCACCTGAACGATTTTGCCAGTGACAGGAAGATCTCTAACCTGCAATCACTGATATGGAGATAATCCACTGCCTTCAGTAAGGCTACTCTTTGAGGTTTTGATTCTTAAAGTGCGCTGGCAGCTAAAATGCTGTTCTCTGAGCAAAGCTTCCAGTAACAGGAGTGCTTGAGAGACGAGGCCCCTTTTCAGCCACGTGTTTCAGATGCATTTGGTTCTGAGCACACATTTAACACCAATAAATTACTTTGCCCAATCAAACAGCACATTCAGGGTATCTTGCTTAAGGCAAACAAACAAACAAACAAAACTATGAAGGCACCCATATCATAAACCCTTCCATGTCAAATTGTGGCAGCCCTTCTCTCCTTGAAATAAACTATGTTCAGCTTAATTGAGCTACACATAAGTACTTACAGCATATGTGCCTAAACCAGCCTTTGGCAACCTGGTGCCCTCCAGATGTTGGCTGGGATTGATGGGTGTTGTGGTCCAACAACATGTGGAGGGCACCAGGTTGGTGAAAGCTAAGCTAAGAAATCACCTTATCCCTACATTACCCTTCCACTTTGCACTCACAGGGCCAATGCAAACTGAGCACAATGCATTTGCATATATGTGGGATGGGTTCACACACACACACACACACACACACACACACACAGTGTATCAGTGCAACCCCAAGCTCACATGAAAGGTGGATTTGGTTTTGGCCAATTGACATTTGCTCAGTATTTAAATTCTCACTTTTATTGCTGCTGCTCAACTTTTGTCTCCTGTAAAATAACATTATCTTAGTAAATACAGAGGAATTTCTTTTAAAAAGGAAAAGAATAAGTCTGTTTTAGCATTAAGTACTTTTAGAGGAGCATGTGGAAGCTTAGAGGTGAATATTTGTTACAAACTGCCCATGATTTTCAGTAGCCAACAGTTTTCCGCCTCATCTATACACTCAAGGTTAGGGTTATTGGACGAGGGGCTGTTAAATTCCTGTTGGGAAGAGAATAGAAGCACCTCTATTCAAGACCAATGTTCCATTCCCTTAAAGTGGATTGATCCCATTCTATCGACAACCACAAGGTGCTAAACAGAAAACAGTTCACCAATATAATAAATCAAACTGAGTGGGTATTTGTTGCATGCAAAAAGCTGAACTTATGCTCTGCTGGTTTTATTTTTCAACTTGGAATTCCTGTACTGGAGTGATTGTGTGAAAACTGCCTTGTTTTAATTAGGCAAGCAGTAGGCAAAATCACACTGTCATTCTCCAAGCAAATCAGATTTCTCATTTGAAATGAAACACACACTATACTGACCGTAGCAAACCATGGTTCCGCACGCCCCATTTTGCTTTTACTCATTGGGGGTTGACTTCATTTTTTGAGAACTGTATATATTTATTGATTGGGAAATATTTTTAATCTTCCTTTTTATATTTATAATATGCTGGCTATGTATATAGTGTTTCACAGAAAAAGGGATGCTACACATACGTTGTCAAGATACTGATTTGTATAGTTTCGCCTTGCCAAGAACACACTGGGCACATCCACTGGGAGCATCTGCCCATAGAAGTGAATGGGAGAGGCATCAAAAATGGCTTTGGTGCCACTCCAATCCATTTCAATGGAGAGCGTTTCATAAGTTCCTGCTGGGTTGCGCACAGTATGTTGTACATATATATTCTTGCACAAACTTGAGGGAACCATGCAATGGGGGAGTGGGGGGAAAGAAAGAGAAACTTAGCCAAAATACTGTTGAATGTATAAATCGCCGTAGCTTTTCAAGGGATGGTAAACCAGGCTCACAGAGTATAAGCAAGCTGGGCATCCAGCCTCATACACAACACTCTCGGTTAATTATATGCTTTATTGTATCTTATGCTCCTGTTAAGGTGGGTCAGCCCTGATCAGGCAACTACAGATTCTAGCTGGCTTGGCTGTCCATAGCAAGTAAGCAAACTGGTGGATCAGCACTTTGCCAATTTATATATGTACATACCCACCCGGAACATTTCTATATTTCTTATACAATGTTGTTGTGTTGTTGTTGTTTTTTAAAAAAATGAAACCAGGCCTTTAATTTTTACTGTACATAGCTCTAAACCACTGAAATTTCTACATGGGCTAACCCCCCCCCCCATTTTAAACCTGTCAAGGCCAATCTGATGTAAGTGGATCAATGTGCTCTAAAAGGCTGTGAAAGGAAAGCCTACACAAATGTAGCAGAATGAAGCTCCTTGTATCGTCCAGGGCCCCCTCTGGTGTAGCAGTCAGTCAGCATGTTCCTCCGGCTCTTTCCTCGAGGCCTAGCAACAAAGTTGACAAGTTTCATACTGAGCATTGAAAGGTTTCCGGATTAGACCAGCCCAAAAGCCTGGACAACATTACACTGTTCCTTTTAGATGGACTTGGCTGCTGTGGTAGCAAAGGATCCCTCCCGCTTAAGCCAACACACTTTTCCTTTTTTAAAAGGCCATCTTCCACTTTTAAGGTACACACATACACACACACCATTTGACATTGCCTCCAGGTTCAAAACACTTAAGTATTCAAAAGGTTGGATAATATGGCTGCATACATTTGAAACTGAGTGAATGCTGCACTGGCTGCACCCCCCACCCCCACCCAAAGGTCAAAACTTATCAGAAAATGAACCATCTTTCTTTTTAATTGTCCCAGCAGGTCAGGCTGGATCCTGGGGATGACCCCATCACTCAAGCGTTGTTGATCTTGTTGTTGTTTTGCCTTCCTGAAAACTCTTTCTCATTGCTTTAGCAAAGTAAAATGTCTATTTCCTCTTCTGACCCTAGTAAATGTCTGTCTTGCAGCACTGTGCATGTTTAGGTTTATTTTTGTTCAGTTTTGCAGAAAACAGTCAAGGTTCTTCTTTACTTCTTCCATCAACTGAAAAAAATATTGCCACAAACGTTTTCCTTTGTATAGAATATTTATTTTGAAGCTCTATTTTAATAGTATTTATTTTAGAAGTCTACTATTGTAAGAGTTCTTCTGTTTGTGAAGAAAAAACAAGTTAAACTGAATGTACTGATCTAGAAATTATATATAAAATATATATTGTTAAATATACAAAGGTCCTGTGACTTCTTTCTTGAAATACAGTTTTTGACTCCCAGTGGTGAAATGGCACATACTGGGCCATGGGTGGCAAGAGATATTCCCTGGAGACTTAGGACCAGAATTCCTAATGTCATAGAACACTTCTTTGTTTATAAACTACCTTGGTTTTGAAACTAAGAAGCAGCACTTCTGCAGAAGGGTACTCGCCAATTTGAATTCCCAACAAGGCATAGCCCAAAGGGTGTGCTCTGACATCACCCACCTATCTGAGCAATCTCAGTTGGAGTACAGCCACTGTGGAGCTGGTTATCTGAGGCTAACAATAAAATGGCACAAGAAATGGGCAAGAAGAGAAATCTTACAGGAGAACAGCCTGAGTTAAATGGCTGAGGTTTGGGGTGAGGAGAGCACAACACTCAATAAAGACTCATAGTGGCTCGTCTTGAGCCAGGTGTATGGCATAGGTCAGGGGTAGGTAACCTAAGGCCCGGGGGCCAGATGAGGCCCAATCACCTTCTCAATCCGCCCTGCGGACTGTCCAGGAATCAGCATGTTTTTACATGAGTAGAATGTGTCCTTTTATTTAAAATGCATCTCTGGGTTATTTGTGGGGCATAGGAATTCATTTATTTATTTTATTAAAATTATAGTCCGGCCTACCACATGGTCTGAGGGACGGTGTCCCATGGATGAAAAAGGTTGCTGACCCCTGGCATAGGTCAAGAAAGACCCCTATTAATATCCCATTAAACTACATGGTAGTCTTGAACATTTCAGTTCAATATTCCCTACCAGACAAGCCATACTATCTTTGTACAGTGGTACCTTGGGTTAAGTACTTAATTCATTCTGGAGGTCCGTTCTTAACCTGAAAGTGTTCTTAACCTGAAGCACCACTTTAGCTAATGGGGCCTCCTGCTGCTGCCACGTCACCGGAGCACGATTTCTGTTCTCATCCTGAAGCAAAGTTCTTAACCCGAGGTACTATTTCTGGGTTAGCAGAGCCTATAACCTGAAGCGTATGTAACCCAAGGTACTACTGTATATGTTCACATAGATAAATGATGGCTGGAATTCAGCATCATACGAAAGAGATTGTTACATCAGCACAAGCACATCTGCTTGACGGATGGAACTATTTCTCCCCACCCCTTGTGCTGTTCTGGGGTTTCCCCCCTGATACTTCCAAGCAGATATGGGGGGGCAAGGGGAGAACAGGGAAAGCCCCATTGGGCTAGAGGGACTCATCGTGCTGGTTTCTGCTAGTGGAACAACTGAATTGAATCCAGCCCATAATCCAAAAAGGAGTAGGTAAGCACATAGATTGCATCTGAAGAGGCTGCTTACAGTAGATCAATGACTGGTAAGTTGAACTCTATCATGCATTTGGTTAGAACGCTTTTTTCGAAAAACTGCTTGGGCCCATGCAAGGTCATTGTTTCCTTTGCAAAAGTAGTTGTACTACTGTTGCAATTTTAGTACTGTGGCCAGTGCTTTTCAACAAAATCAGCCACCTCATTAGTTTATTAGCATTGGTCAGGAATTTTTTTATTAAGGTAATAATAATTGAGAATGTGGGGAGAGAGGAAGAGAAACCCTTCTGAAATATCTCTCATTTTCTGAATCAATTAAATGAATGGCCGTGTTCTCTGTTATGGTTGTGTTGAGACACCAGTTTCCAAACTCCACCTTTTTTATTTTAAAAATGGCTACCACCATTTCCACCTGGTAAACAAAAGTTGGTAAATAGTCCCATGAGGCCTTGTTTCAATAGACAAGACACATTACTCTTGCATGCTGCCCCTACTACACACACCACCAAAATACTAAAGAATATGGAAGATTTAAACTGAATCTAGTGCAACCTTCCCGTTTGAGAGCATTAAATATTTGTGAACGGCTTCCTCAGAGACTGATGTAACTGCTCAGCTGCCGCACCCACTGATCCCTGAAGATAGTGGTCAGGTTGTTTTGTGAGTAAAACATTTCCAATCGGGTTTTTAAAATGGGTCTCAGCATCTCTCCAATCAACTGAGTAGCATGACGTCCTCTTCCATTTAAACCTGCCCAAGTTTATTCTGCCTTCCTGGATGTTGAGAGAAGCTTCTGGGAAATCACCTTGGGAGCCATTTGCATCCCTCTAAAGTGAACGAAAGAGTTCCAATACCTTTAAAATAGAACGTTCCAAGCAAGCACAACAGGGTTACATCAAGTTGGGTGGAGGAGAAAATAACTAGTATGCACATGGGGCAGGTACCCTTTGACCCGAATCTAATTCTCATCATCCTTTCTGGAGAAAATAGTAAGACAGAAAATGCCAGAAGCTAAAGAACAGGAGGAAAGGAGTCATAAGGACAAATCATTAGAAACATTACAGAAGCCAGCAGGAAAAATACCTTTTGGAAAATACTCTTATGAGTTTATCTTTGCTGTTTGAAAACAAAAACACCTCAAACTCTGGAAGAACAAGATGCTTTACTTTTTCTTTTTTATTATTACATTAATATTTCACTATTCATCCAAGAAGCTCATGGTGGTATACATGTTTCTCCCTCTTCCCATTTTAGCCTCACAATAACACTGAGGTAGGTTTGGCTGAGAGATGGTGACTGGACCTTGGTCACCCAGTGAGCTTCATAGCCAAGTGGTCTCCCAGGTCCCAGTCCAACAATCTATCCATTACAGTTATGATACAGTATTTTAAAAATCACTTCTTTTAAAATAAGCCACTAAATGGCTGTTCCTCTATATCTGCATGTAATGTTGCAGAGAACAAAATAACAAACAAGAATCACAGACGAATTCCATTTCTTGTCAACATGAGAGCAAATCCACACATTTCGTCCTCCACAAATGGACCGTACTGTTATTTATATGTTGCAAAGGTGTCCTTCTGTTTCTCAGAGAGCTCTGAACTGCATTTTAGCCTCACACAGCAAGCAACCCAGTCAGGCCAGTTAAGCAGAAAGCCTCACAGCTGAATGCTGCTTGGAACCAAAGCATTCCACACCACCGCGTCCAGTGCTATGCTATAACTGACCATCTTAAACGAGAAATGTTAATCATGCTAGAGGCATCCATTAAATTCAGGCTTATTTGCAGGAACAACTGATGCTCTCTTGTAGTGAAGGAACCAAGCAAGGCAACCCAAAAATCTCAAACATCTGGACTGTCTGGGTATATTCTGAGGTGATTCCCATCCCCCTCTGCAGCCTTCCCAGCAAAACCGTAGGCCATGCCCTCACACCCAACTCATCTAGAAAGAAGAAGTTTGAAATGTACAGTCATGACAAATGGGATTAATATAAACCAACAACTTTGTGACAGGGGCCGTAGGAGAAGCCCTAGGCTGCTTTGCCCCCTCTTTCCCACTTTCTCTCCCCCCCCCCCGCAGAAGTTTCTTATTCTCCCACTTTAATAAAACAATATCTACGTGGCCCGAGGCAGGTGCGATTTTCATAATTTATGGGTTTCGGAGACAGGAAGAGAGCTCCGGAGTTTTATTGTGCTTTGCTCACTAAATGGCATTCCGATTGTCTACATATCATTCTTTCAGGCTCTGCTATCTGGCAGGCGTACAGGCCCTTTTGGAACCCACCTGTGCCTGCTGCCCTCAGGCAAGGGATAATTATGAATACATCTGTATGTGCTAAGCAGGAGATGAATGAAAAATTTCTCCTCATTTCCCCATGTCATTAGAAAAAAACTTCCTGCATTGACACCTCTATTAGCACTCAGCAACTACCGGCTTGAAATAAACCTCCCTCCGATTCTTCCATTTATAAAAATAAGAAAATCTGCCTTCCCATCCCTAGCTACTCTCCTTGCGTTGCTCCATGTGGACATGTGCAAATCCATCCCAGCAATTTCCAGCCTATCCATTGAAAGACTTGAGATGCCATTTATATATTAGGAGAGTGACTCAGTTCTGTTACAAAACCTGGGGTGAGGCTGCAATCCTTTGCGCACTAAATTGGAAGATGGCATGTAGTGAATAGCGCAATCGTGTGTGTATGTAAGTCCCATCGTATCCAGTGAGGATTACTCCTCAGTATGTGTGTATAGGATTTCAGCCTTACATTGCAATCCAACCTATGTCTATCAGTGCGTGTCACTGGATCTTAATCCCAGTTAAGTGCAGGACAGCAGCCTCAACCGCACATTCACTTCAAACAAACAGAAGTTACATTGTGAATGATCAATTTGGGAAATAAAAAAAAAATTATCAAAATCAGATTTCGAAATTCATCAACAGCTGAACAGAGCTCCTGCTTGGACAGTATGAAAATAACATTGCCAGCTAAATATGTAAACCTGAATCCCACTGAAGGTTTCTCATGTTAAAGTTTCAGAAACTTTTGAAATATGTGAACTTTCTTCTTTCTACCATTGGACTACTGCCAATTGAATCTTGTTGCTGCTTTCCTGAGATAGCTATTAAGCTAATAATGTCTCAACCAAGTTTAAAACCGTTTGTTTGTTTAAAAACAAACCTGCAACTGTGCATTGTAGAAAGCCTAACAGGCAGCTGTCCCACAAAAGTAGGGTGATGGTAAAAGAGTGAAGAAATAAATGTACATGCTAATACTCTCTCCCCTCAGTCTCAATCATATTTTTAAAAGCTGATGGTGGAGAGGTTTGTTCCCTGAAAAAGAGAGGGAAACATTTCCCCTTACAAAAATGAACCAGAATGTTTTTTTTTAAATGTAAGATTCATTCATGACAAAATACCAGCCGCATGCACCAGTGGCCCATATTCACAGCAGAAGATAAATTTTATGGGGCCTGGTAGGTGTAGGTCATAATCTCATTTTAGAAATACCCCTGCAATATGCCAAGAACTGTGGCATAAGTTGTGACTGGTATCAATAGGAGCAGAAAATCTCTTTCAAGGTTAGCCTCATAAAGTTTTATTCAGTAAAGTTTTATTAGCTCTCAGCTTTAGAAAGTTACCACATCTGGTCACATCTGCATCTAATTTAAGTTAGTTTTAATCAAAGCGGCCCT